AAAATATTGATATTAGTCAGGAAATTTTTGATTAGTAATCTGTATGCACTTATTGATTGATAAATATTACTATTATTGAACATAAAACACCCTTCAAAAAATATGATACCTCTGTTCTGAAACAAGTTAGCAAATAAATTTTGAAAAGCAGTTGAAAACTTTAATTTTTGTTGAGTCTTTGAAATTCAGAGTGTGACCTCAAATCTAATATTGATCTGAATTATTAAGAGTGAGCTTTTATACTGCTGATTTCTGTTAAATGTTTTTTTTACTGTTCATTTGGTACCACTATCAAAAAATGCAGGAAAAATTGTCCTCAGTGCTATGTGCCTTCAGGGAATGTCGATCATATCTCTCCACACCTTCCTGGTTTTTTAGCTGTTAGTAAAACTTGTGTTTTTGCTCTCTCTTCTAATCCCTGTTCTGCCAATTATTTACTCAAGCTCGTTAAGATAGAAATTTGAAAGACCACGAAATAGACATTCACAATGTGGTAATAAAATGAAAGAGAAGGTTGTGTTTGTTTATTTTTGTTCTTTCCCCAGTAACGATTATTAATGAGCAAGTGTAATTTAAAGTGAAACTAATTCTCATATAAATATTGACAGCTTCCTCAATTGTTCAGTCTTTATAAAAGAAAGAAATTGTCAACTAGACGAACGTAACAGAAGAAAGGGGAAAAAAAAAAATTATTGAATAATGGTTACAAAAAGATTTGTTTGTCTTTTGTTGTCTTGCCTCCAACACATAAATGGCAGATGACAATGTGTGTACCTCTGACATCATCAAAACAAAATGTATGAATTATCAGTGTGAGTGTCTCTATTTAAATATATACGTTTGTACACACACATACACCTAATTCTGTGTAGATACGTCTTCATGCAAATATCAGTGTCTGTAGACACATGTGTGTGCCTGTTCATGTCAATCAATATATACTCATTATGGATATAATGTTTATATCTGTATGTACATAAGTAAAGGAGAAAACTGAATTGATTTGTCTTTGCACACACAGAGGCTATTAATTTGATACCTGACTGTCATCATTAACTGATGACACTTATTCAAACTAAATTGCAATCACAATAGCTGGACATTATTTCTACTTTTGAGACGTTCGCCAAGATAATTGATGACACTCAAAGCCTCTGCCACTTTGACATAAACGATGGACGATAATTAACTACCTTAGGGGTTTTCTTACACTTGCAATCACCAGAACTGCTTAATTGAATAAAAGACTCTTGTAATTGGTGTCTTTTGTAGTTGGCACACCTTAGCCTTTCATTGTTATCATTTACCTTTCATTACTGAGTGTGGGTTTTTTTTTTCCCTCCTCCTCCTAATTTGTGAGTCTGTGTTTTGTACTGTTATTGGTCACACATTAGACTTATTCAAACCTTTTCAAGACATACATTATTCTGATTGACAACCATTGATTAAAGCAAATTTCTATTTTCTTTCTCTTTTCACTGTTGTATGTATTTTCCACGTCCTGATAGATCAGAAATGAAATGATATTGTTTAAATCAAAGATCATACCATTTTGACCATTTCAACCATTAGAGTGCATCCAATAAACACTTCTCTTTGATTGCAATCTTTGGAGAAGCTTTTTTCAAGTACTACACAAGAAGATAGTAAATGGCACCTTGTACATAAATCTGTGGCCCAGGCATTTGTTTTATTTTTTTTTTTTTTTAATAATTAATTTAATTTTTGACATGCCAACAACTACTTATTCTAATTTAAAATTTTCATTTTATTTTATCTTATTCACTTCACCTTAGCATTCTTGATATGCAGAAAGTTGATGAAATGCAACAAAAATTATTGATGAGATTGGAATCATCTTGAGCTTGTTCTGTTTGAACATTAAAAAAATATGTTAGGTCTCATTTTGTATTTTACATAAAAAAAAAAGTTTTAAATTGACTGAAAGTATCTTAGCTGATGTTTTCTTCCTTTTTATGAAACATGTTTTTAAAATGTGAGAAAAAAAACAATTTCATTCAAACTAACCATAGAAATATCTTATTCAATTAAACAGTGCTTTAAAGCAAATGCATCCAAAATAACGCAGATATCTTACCTGGAAAAGAGGCCAAAGCAATTACGATTTGATTTTCTTAGAGGCCAACTATAGGAAGTTATTCTGTAATTGTTAGAAATTTTTTTCTGGAATCTGGGATTAACTCAATTATTTTTATCTAAACATTTGTTTCAGATAGAATTGTTTAAACTCTGCAAGTAATTTTGAAAAGTTGAGTATAGATTATTTCATGTTTCTGTAAAATTATCACTCTGTTTTATTTTCAATTTCTTCACTTATATTTCACATTTACAGTATTCACTTAATCAGTGCCAAAAAAAAAAGAGTCTGGTTCATTTTTCAAAATCTGACAAAACAGTGAAAGTGTTTTGGGAAAGTTTTTTTTTTTTTGTCAGTCCAAAAACTTTTTAGCACTCTTTCATATAAAAGATAGTTGCTGTTTTCAAAAAATATGTACTTTGCATTTAACACTTTTTAGACTAACTCATTTCATTAAGCAATCAATATTTGAGAAAAAAAATGGACAATCAATCCAAAAATGATGAAGAGACATGAAGCAACATAAATGTGGTTCTACAGAAGAATGCTGCCTATACCATGAACTGGACAATGTTTTAGAGAAGCTTATAGACAGACTTCACATCAAAAAAGAGTTGAAATTTTTAGGGTACTTAATGAGGAAAGTGGGCTTGGCAAATTTGATACTCACAGTACAGATTGAAGTTAAGAGATGGCAGAGGAAAACAATGCATAACCTACCTAGCGAGCTTGAGTAAACGGGAACAAGGTTTAGGAGTGATAACAAAAAGATAACATTTATTAAGAGCTAGAAAGGAGAGGAAATTGTGGAGAGCCATGATCACCAACGTCCTGAAAAAACATGGCACATAGAAGAAGATGAATGTTAGGAATCAAACTATAAAAATGAACAGTATTTACATTAGTCGGACTATTGTCCTCATCTTTGTCGCCATATTTGTCACAACGTTTCGGCCATTGTACGCTCCAGCCTTCTTCAGATGGTTGGAATTTCGAACTGTACCCTTTATTTCGATCACTGGGGTAGACTGTTCTAGTTCCACGTGCCATGTTTGATGGATGTCAGTTATCAGTTATCTCCTCAAGGACACATGGCACAGTGGATAAAGGTGTTGGTTAGATCCAGTGACAGACCCAAAGAAGGTGAGTTCAATTCCTGGTTAAGGCAGTGGAGAACTTTCAGAGGGAAAATTAGCAGGAGATAACTGATAACTGACATCCATCAAACATGGCACGTGGAACTAGAACAGTCTACCCCAGTGATTGAAATAAAGGGTTCAGTTCGAAATTCCAACCACCTGAAGAAGGCCGGAGCGTACAACGGCCGAAACGTTGTGACAAATATGGCGACAAAGATGAGGACAATAGTCCGACTAATGTAAATACTGTACAGAATACCTCATCTCAGAAATATAGACAGACTATAAAAATGAAACTACTGATTTCTTGTTGTTTCGCCCAATGCTCTAACCAGTGAACTACACAGTCATTGTTTACAAGAAAAGCAATCTTTTCAAACTTTTTGTTTGGAGAAAGTGATTTTCAAAGATGTTGGACTTAAGATAAACAAACAAAATCTTTAATAATTGATTTCTTGTAGTTAACTTTTAATAAAAAAAAACACAAAACTTTATAGAATTTTAGTAAAGTTTTCATCTGATTTGATGATTTTTTTTTTTTTTTTGTGGTGGTGGGGGTGTCTTTTTAAGAACAAAGAAAAATATCTGTTCAACCCAAAAGCCTGCACAAAACCACAGATAATAAAACTTGATAGAACATTATCCGGATATGTTCTTGGCTTTCTCTGTTTTAACACTTCTGCTTTGAGAGTTGAATTAATGAAGTATGTCTACTTGTAATCACAATTTTCTGATGTTAGAAATTTCTGTGTTCCTCTTTCTTTACTGGTTGCACTTTTTACGTTGTCTTTCTAGCACAACATCGACTGTATTGTTCCTGTGTACGGTGTGCAAATTTCAACAACTATCTAACCAAATAACGCTTCATTTCACTTTGGTAAGCATTCGCAATCTCTGGCAATACATTTTCATAGAACTCTAACAGGTTCTGAACAAAAGGTCACTCTTTATAAACAATTACAGAGCTTCATTTATATCTTCTTCCTCTTTGTTACGTTTTTCTTTGTTTTCTACCAGCAAAACTTGAACACCAACCATCCATTTCTTTTCATCGTCTTCTTTTTACTTAGCTGTGCATTTGCAAATTCCTGGGGTCAGTAAATCTCTAGTCTTATTTCGGAAGTAAGAAGCACTGGTTCATTTCGTCAAGTCGTACCAACTCACTGAATAACAAATTTTAGTTTCTCATTATGTGAAATTGCCCATCATATTTTCCACAGAGTTCTTTCTTGCAGCCATTAATGCCTTCTTAGCAATTATTGCTTTAGTTTACAACAATGAATTTCCTGCTGTATTTTCACACCTTTGGCCTTCCATAGTTCCACACTACATTGATTCATATCTTCTCATTGTTCTTCTGCTTAATGTCTTCTGCTCAATCCATATGGATAGAATCCTGTCCCTAGAACATCCAATGTTTTATATCCTTTGATTAATTTATTCTAATCTCTTTTGTTGTTTTCATTTCTCTGTTTTTGAAAACATTATTAGCTTACCAGCTTTGGAATCAGCTGAATGAATATGGAAATAATATAAGGTTTAAAATCTGTCCTTCCAGAACCAATCTAAGGCAAAAAAAAAAAAATTTTTTTTTTTTTTTTAACTTTTTGTTGTGATATTCTTTTTTGCTAATTTATGGTTGAAATTAATTTTAAATAGAAATAAATATTTTGGAAGGTTTTAAAACTTGAAAATATTTAATTTCCATCTTGAAAACATTACGCTTCACTTGACAATTATTGGCCTAATATTTTCAGGCTTAAGGCCACATCATGTTGAAACACCAGTTCCTGTACAATCACTGAAGTTAAGCAAATTCGAGTCTGGTCTGTACCTAGATGGGTGACTGCTTGGGAATATCAGGTTCTGTAAGCTTGGATGTGCATGTGGTGTAACAGAATTGTTAACCAGAAAGCCAAGTTCCAATTCCACTTGGGTACATTATATTCACTTACGCACAAATACCCTTCGGAAAGAGATGAATCCACCTCTTCTCTTAACCCAGAGCTGAGTTAGTAAGCAAGATTTGTATCACTAAAACCATTACTATCTCAAAAAAATATTGCATACAAAATATTGAGACTTTGGCATTAAATAACCCATACGGCTGTTGATATACCATTAAGCAAACACAACCAATCAATATTTTTATCAATTTACAAAATATAATAGATATTTTTTCACAACCAATTCTATTTCAAGCATCTAGTAGACATCATAACAGCTGTTGAATATGAAGCTTGAATAAAGGAAAATCATAGAAGGATATAAATTTTATCTTTTTGTTATCACTTCTAAACCTTCTTACACTGTCCATTTACTCAAGCTTGCTAGGGTGGTTATGCATTGTTTACTTCTGTCATCTCTTAACTTCAATCTGTACTGTGAGTATCAAATTTGCCAAGCCCACTTTCCTCATTAAGTACCCTAAAAATTTCAACTCTTTTTGATGTGAAGTATGTCTATAAGCTTCTCTAAAACATTGTTCAGTTCATGGTATAGGCAGCATTCTTCTGTAGAACCACATTTATGTTGCTTCGTGCCTCATCTTCATCTGCGGATTGATTGTCCAGCATTTTTTTCTCTAATGCTTAATGAAACACAGGAAAAATGGTGCAAAAGTAAACTAAACGTCAAAATTTAATATAAAATATTTATGAAATAGATGTTCAATGAAAGAGTTTATTAAATAAGTTTAGTTATCCTTGAAATAAAAATAAAGCATTTATATCAAATGATTTTCATCTCACACAAATTTGTTGCCTTATTATTTCCATTAATTACATGAGGACTATTATCTCCATCTTTGTTGTTATTATCAGGCAGTAATTGTTGGTTTATATTTGGGGGGGGGAGTATCTGTGGTTAGTGTAACAGTTGCCTAGCCACATTTACACAAATAGCCTTCTCTCCCTAAAGCAGAATGGACTGTCTTGGTTTGAGATGGCAACCAGTCTAGGAGAAAGAACACAGAATTCCAAACTAGACTGAAGAACACTATTTACATTATTTGGACTATTGTCCTCATCTTTTTCAACATATTTATTACAACGTTTCGGCTGTTGTATGCTCCGGCCTTCTTCAGGTGGTTGGAATGTTAAACTGAACCCTTTATTTCACTCACTGGGGTAGACTGTTCTAGTTCCACGTGCCATGTTTAATGAGTTATCTCCTGTTAATTCCCCTCTCCAAGTTCTCCACTGCCTTAACCGGGAATTGAACTCACACTCTTTGGGTCTTGTTACTGGATCTAACCAATGCCTTTATCCACTGTGCCATGTGTCCTTGACAGAACCCAAAGAGTCTGAATAATGTAAATAGTGTACATAATACCTCATGTCAGAAATATAGACAGTCTGAAGAAGAATGAATGCCATAGAAGGAGTAGAATGTCTCGGACAAGACTATACTACTACTGTTATGGCTGCAGTACATATGGTGTTCCCATGGTTTATGGAACTTATATGATGACATTTGAGGGGAAAATCTCTTTGAATTGATACTTTTATAGCTTTTATAATCTACTTTACTGAAAATAATCCTTTAATAATTCTGCTTAATCCCTACCTATTGTGTATGTTACACCCTGTTAATGCCTCATACATGTTGAAATATTCTGTTTTTGATCAAAAGGAAAGACGGAAAAGACATATTAGAGATGCTGTTTGGTTTCAGTGAGAAAAAAACAAAAAAAAGATTCAGAAGTAACGACACTCTCATGTGTTTAACATCTGCTTCAGTGAAATAGAAAGATTTATGAATTTTGAATCTTTTCATTTGTACCCTCTTACTTCTTTAAATAATGACATTCATTCATACTGTTATTGTAATATTTTGTTAAAGTTGTTAAGCTAATATTTAACAATGCAATAGGGGAATTTTCACTGATACTTTTTTATTACGGATACTTTATATATTATTTCATATTTATGATTGTTATTGTAATACTTAGTTAAAGTTGTTAAGCTCAAATATTTAACAAGGTAAAAGTGAATTTCTGTGGGTATTTTAGTCAGACTTTGCAAGGAGTCTATTCACTCATTAACTTAGGAATTATGATTCCTTGTGAAATTTTCATGAGTACTTCAGTTTTTAATTAAAGTGCTTTTAAATTAATGGTTGGTTGTATATGAGATGAATTCAGAATTTCCCTCTGTCTTTTATCACTGGAGATGTTTATGGATAAGACTTCTTTATTAAAAATCATCATCAACAAAAAAAAAAATATGGTAGTTGAAAGATTTATTGAAGCTTACTGCATGTTTTTCATATGAAAATTATATATTTTTCATTATCAGCTTTCAAAATATCTGTTTAGTAAAAAATAAATTGATAATAGTATTATCTCCATGATATTCTGCTTGCTGGAAATATATTTCTTATACAAGAAGCAGCAAAATACAATAAAACAGTTTCTGTTTCAATTAGTTTTAACAAAAGAAAACCAATATTTACTTAATAATATTTACAATAGTCATCTAAATAAGTTTCCAACAACCATTTCTTTTTAACCCATAAATGCTTGCTGTTAAATTTATTAAAATAAAAATTCAGCTGTAAATTATGAAAATTAAAATAAAAATTCAGCTGTAAATTATGAAAATTAAAATAAAAATTCAGCTGTAAATTATAAAAATTAAAATAAAAATTCAGCTGTAAATTACAAAAATAAAAACAAAAAATTCATGTGTAAATTATTAAAGTTGAATATAAATTAGGTGTTTGTGAATAAAACTTGAATATAAATTAGGGGTTTGTAAATAAAACTTGAATAAAAATTAGGGGTTTGTAAATAAAACTTGAATATAAATTAGAGGTTTGTAAATAAAATTTGAGTATTAATTAGGGGTTTGTAAATAAAACTTGAATATTAATTAGAGGCTTATTTATAAAAATCCAATATTACTTATAAAAACCCATGAATAGCCACCATTCTAAAAATGGGACAGTATTGCATTAATTGGTCAATTTGAAGTGACATGAATAAAAAATTCATTTCCTTTATTATTATAAAAAGCATAAAAAACAAAGAACTGTTGAATCTTGTGGACACACTAAGTATATAAAAATATAAAATTTAATTCAACCAATAAATTTCAAGAAGTCATATTTAATTTCCAAACTAAGTTGAAAAACTTTGGTATCTGTCACCTTTGCTTTTGGTCGTGATGTTATCATATCTACATTGGCAACAGTCCAATTTTGAATTCAGAAGAGTTAATGTAGGAAGTGAAATGTGACGGTGGTTTCATCTCCCATTTGTGGGAGGTACTGCTTTGATGTGCACTGTCAAGCATATTGGTAACACAGAAATTAATTGAATAAACTTTTGGTAAAGATTTAAACAAAATCTGGACGAGTTGTTTTATCTTCCTCTTTAAGTACTATATATATATATATATATATATATATAGTGGGTACATGTGTTTGAGTAGATATCTCTGCTTTTTTTTAACAGGGAAATTGATATCTAGCAGCTTAGAAGCATCAAAGTCTGATTAAAGAAAATGTACCTCTCAGCAGGGATTGAACCTGTATTAATTTTTTACCTTAGGGAAACTAGCTTGTATCAAAGTGTGCTTTTACAATTTTAACCTCCATGAAGCATTGAGGGTCAGAAGAAATAATGTTAGATTAAAAATAAATCTATTAATTGCTTAGTCACCCACACACAGACAGACATATATATATATATGTGTTAATGCGCGCACACACAGATATATTCATGTGTGCACACATAGATAAATATACACACATAAACACACATGTGTGTATATATATATATATATATATATATATATATATATATATACACAGATGTATAATATGAGGAAATGTTTGATATGTTGAAGGAAGTATTTGTTTACTCAGCATTTAGAGTTAATTTGTACTGTGAATATTGTGAATGGAATTAGTTGCGTTCCTCTTATAAAATATGCATTTTCTTCATTTTATTGCCTCAGAAAGATGGAAACTTTTTTTTTCCTGCTCTCATATTGACATGGATGAAAAAAATAACCCTCAGAAAAAAAAAATTTTTTGCATACCTTCATTTGTCAAAGTTATAATGAATTTAAATTTTTGATTTGCAACAACTCTGTTTCTGCTAATGAGTATAATCTTTTGTGATTGCCAATAAAAAAAACAAAAAAACATTTAGCTGTTCATACACACACATATATATATATATATATATATATATATATATATATATACACACACACACACATTTTATCAAGGCAAATGCCTTGATAACGTCCCTCAGAGGCTGAAACATTGTTTGCTTTCCTTTTTGGCTTTATTCATAATTTTCAAAATACAAAAAATATGTAATCCAAGCATAGTGAATAACTATGTCCCATTGTAAAAAAACAGATATATGAAAATTCAAATTTGTGTAATGGTCAGTTCATACTAATCACCCAAAGATTGCATTGTGTATGAAATTCAAATTTGTGCTAGCAGGGATAATATATACATATATACACACACACAGATATTTATATGACTTTGTAATGTGTGCCAAGCACAACACACTTTCAGCCTCCATAATGGTCTGTTGAGCTAGTTAACTAGTGCCCCAAAATGTGATTGTGTATAGGTATATTAAATAAATATACCTAATATATTAAGAGATCATCTTTTAATCTTTGACTTTCTATATGTACAGGTATGTGTGTGTGTGTGTATAAACTCATGTCACATGCAAACAAAAAGTTAAGGCCACTTTAATATGGCTGCAATCATTTATTTTATGAAACAAATATTTTTCAACATAATCTTTGTCACTTCTCTCAATTCAATGATGAATATAAATAATGTAACAAAATATAATTTAAGGTAAATATTCAGGTAATAATTGTATCAGTATTA